TCCTTTACAAGCAATGGGAAAGATTTTAAAGGAAGGGTTTATTGAAAAAAATCCGCATTATTAACCAGTACACCTAGTATATTAACTTTTTCAAGCACAGATTATTTTTTAAACTTTTTTATGCCATAAAAATTTACTTTGATGAAACAATGTGATGAGAGATGAGAGTTATTTTTAAAATGGCTTACTTGGCAATATAAAAAATTTGCAAATCTATGTCAGATACCGACTTTTTCCCGTCAGATTTTACTGATCCATGAAATCCTAAAGCATAGAAACTGTTGCTCTCAGGGAACCTAAGGGATGAGAGCCAAAAGTCCCCGGCTTTCTGCTTGAAGTGGACTCAGTAACCTTATTCTCACTGTAAAAATACAGGTGAAACCCCTTCCCAGTCTCCTCCCCATTTGTAGCTCTGACCTACCTGCCTGGACTACTTCCTCCTTCTCTCTTAAAGGAGAGCACTCTGTGAAGAGCTGGCCCCCATCTCTGAGGTTCCGGCGCACCGGGAACATTCGCCCATGTTACAGAGCTCTCAGCTGGCATTTTATCATTTCCCACTGAGTCCTGGTGTTACACTTTCCAAGGGGTGATATCTGATTTCCCAGGTCTCTATTTTGGAGGTCCTGTTCTCCACGGGCTTCTCCCTTCCATGTCAGACTTGTGTGGTTTGACGTGTCCCCAGTGCTGGCCACTCCTCAAACACTGCCTCCTCTCCCAGGGCCAAGGGATGCCCTCGGGCTACAGCTACTCCTGCATGTGGGAGTCTGGCTGGGATCCGCACGGAGCAGCCAGAGCGTGGGCTTGGATCCTAATCATCTTGGTATCCCCTGCAGCGGTGACAGGGCCTACCGCATGGTAGGTGCTCAGTGAATGTGGGAACCTTTTTTCTGCCAAGGGCCATTTGGATATTTATGACATCATTCGTGGGCCATACAAAATTATCTACTTAAAAATTAGCCTGCTCTATTTGGTCAAACATTTAATTAACTCACCCCTAATGCCTTGGCAGAGCCAGACCAAATGATTTCATGGGCCGTATATGGCCCGTGGGCCGGACATTCCCCATTCCTGGTTTAGAGAATAAATGAATGAACGAGTGAATGGATGGTTGCAGGTGGGCTCAGCATCTCTGTCCACCCCTCAGTCCTCAGTGATGACCTGACCCAGTAAGTGTCCCACAACGGAGCCTCATTCCCTGGGCTGGTCTCCAGGACCTTTTCCCCCTCCCACCCCAAGAAGGGGGCACAGACTGGTCAGAGGCTCTTCTCTGAGGACGCTGCTGGGCTTGGGCTGGTGGGAACAACTGGGGACTCCAATGTTCATCCATGTCCTACCCAGACTCTATGGCCCCTAGCTTCAGATTAGTCTTTGTGGGCTGGCATGCAGCAGGGACTCAATAAATGCTATTGCATTGGATGCTAGTGGGTGGAGCACAACAAAACTCCCACTTTACTTCATAGATGGCTGTGCAGATTGAATGGGAGAATACCTGTACAGTACTTAGCATAGTAGCCGGCATTTGCTAAGCTACTAGACTCCATGGGAAGGTTGGCTCTGTGGGCACCCAGTGTCCTGAGAGCCCTGCTGCTATATTTGTTGTATGAATGAATGGACGAGGACTGCTCCATGTCCCTTTGATTAATGCCTCTGCATCCAGCATTCCAAAAATGGCACAGTGGCATGATTCACCTGCCTGGCGCTGATGGACAAGCCCTTGGAGGAGTGAGAAATGGCATTACTGGACTTCCAGGGATGCCCAAGCCAAGACTCAGCAGGCTTGGTCCAAACTCTTCACTTACAAGACTGCCTTCCCTTCCCTAATCCTCATCTCTTCTTCCACTGGTGTCCTGATCCCTCATCCTCACCCCATTCGTCACTCTTCTTTTTTTGAATGGAGTCTACCTCTAAGCTGACTTGTCTTCTCCCTCCCATTCCTGTTAGGGCCAGTCTTCCCTCCTCCAACAAGTCCTTCTTAGGGCTTTCAGAGTTGCCTTCCTAAAATAGGTCAGATGACACCACCCTCTCTCCCTCAACAACATTTAGTGGCTCCCCATTGCCCACAGAACACGTATCTTTCACATGTCCCTCTCTGGTTTTTGTCCTGCTTCCCTTCCCAGCCTTAGCCCCTGCCACCAGAATTTCTAATAACAGTCATCCTTTCACTGATCTAAACTTTAGTGCCTGTCTTTTCCTCAGCCTGAATACCCTGATCTCCACTCACCATTCTTGAAGGCCCAGCTCAAATGCCATCCTGTCCACAGAGAAGTCCTTGAGGGCCCACAGTTGGAATGACTCACCCACCCTTTGTGCTCCTTCACTTCTTTCTGATTTAACACCTCTATTCCACCACTCCCTCACTCTGCTTTCTTAGTAGACTAGGCACCTGACAGGTGTTGGCTTAAAGCAGTGGTTCTCAACTTTCCTAATGCCGCGACCCTTTAATACAGTTCCTCATGTTGTGGTGACCCCCAACCATAAAGTTATTTTCGTTGCTACTTCATAACTGTAATGTTGCTACTGTTATGAATCATAATGTAAATATCTGATATGCGGGATGTATTTTCATTGTTACAAATTGAACATAATTAAAGCACAGTGATTAATCACAAAAACAATATGTAATTATATATGTGTTTTCCGATGGTCTTAGGTGACCCCTGTGAAAGGGTCGTTCGACCCCCAAAGGGGTCGCAACCCACAGGTTGAGAACCGCTGGCTTAAAGGAATGCAGGTTGGTAAAAAGGAGGCAGGGACTGGCCTTACAGTTCCTCTCAGTCCTCACAGCACTTCTGCATTTAGCAGAGCAGACTCTAGGTCTAGTTTAAATAAAATGAAAAGCAGGACAAGCTGGCACGCTCCTCCCCCCATTTCTTTATTCCAGAGAAAATGCGGTTGCCCAGAGCCCCATGCTCCCACGGCCTCTCCATGTGTGGCTGACGGTCCTGGGGAAACCCATGCTTCCTTTCTCCCTCTGCTCCGTCTTTGTTCTTCTTCAGTGACCAAACCTGGAGTTCCTCCTGTCTGTCTCCCACCCAGAAACTGGGGATCTCAGGGACCCACATTCCCACATCCCCAGGCAGCTTCCTAGCTGTCTCATTCTGTGCAGCCCGGCTTATCTCAAGGCCCAGGTGCATGGGCAGGGTCTCGGGGAGCCCAGCTTGGCTCACTCACCCCACTGTCCCTCAGTTCTTAGGGCTGATGCCTCAGTCTCCCACCAGCAGCCCTCTCCACGAGGAGACCCTGTGGCTGGAATGGAGCCCTAGGGACACCAGTTCTCCTTCCACCACAGGCGTGGCAGCCAGCCTCTTCCTTCCCTTGACAGCAGAGCTGGATCTCCTCAGGAACCCCCTGGGCACCCACACCTCTGCCCATACCTCATTCTCCTCCTCCTGTGCCAGCCGCTCCTCAATAAGCGCTGTGGCGCTCTGTAGCGCCTCGGAGCCCGCCATGGTGCTGTCCATGCCCGCTTCTGCAGGCCAAAGAGCCACGGGGGCTTTATAGACCAGGGCACCCCACCCCCCCTTGCTGGGCGCCTTTGCCATGAGCTCACCAGCTCAATTCTCCACCTGCCCCCCCGCCCCCCGGCCCCCGTCACCTTCACCCCGGGTAGCCAGAGAGAGCAGGGGAGAGGCAAGGACAGTTGCCCCCCACATCCCCTGGCCTATTAGAGCCGGAGGGCACAGTACCCCAAGAGCAGGGGCTGCAGGAAGGAGCCTGCCCAGCCTTTGCCATGAGTGCTTAGGCCCAGCTGGTCCTTAGCCAGGGCAGCTGGGCTGCAGGAAGGACCCACTGGCTGCCTCTAGCCCTGATGGCAGTGCCACCTGCTGGACGCCTGAAAACTGTGCCCAGCCAGGGCTAATCAGGAGGCCTGAAAGCCAAAGTGAGGACCCAAGACAGTCCCGTGTCCTGGGCTGTCCTGTATACAGGCCCCGCTGGCTCTGGAAAGGGGCAGGTGCTCCCTCCTAGCTGAAGTGCCCGGTGGCTGGTGGGGGTCAGGGTGGCTGCCTCCCGCTTTGTGCACAGTTCATGCAGACCTTTGCGTCTCTGGGGTCCCACAGCGCCCCCTAGCAGAGCATCCCTGCATTTGGCTTTATGTCCATTCGTTCCTGATCTGTTTCAGGGGCCTCTGCAGGAGGTATGGGGTCTTCCTTCAATAGGAGTCTCAGGAAGCCAGTGGAAGGGCCAGAGTACATTGCCAAGCTCAGATGACGACACCAGCTCAGACTGATCGTCCTTTTCTCCTGTTTCCCTGTCAGGCCTCCCTGACTGGGGACAGCCATGCTCACTGAGAAAGACAAATACTCCCAACTGGAGAAGCAGCAGGCCTGTACCTGCTCAGCCCCATGTTTAACTGCCAGTGAACCGTGGACACCACAGCTCTGCGGTTCTGTAACATTCGCGTGGCCTGTCCTTAGCTAGACCACCTTCTCCAAGATTGCCCTCTCTGCTCACATGCACACTTTCCCCCAGGGAAGCACAGGAACAGCTCCCTTTTTTATCTGGTCCCTTTGCTGGCAAGCCAACACATGCTCTAAGTTTGTCAGAAATTTTGCTTTAACATCAGCAAGTGAGCAGTGTCTCCAGGATCTGCACACACCTTAGTCCTGAGGGTCTGGCTCAGGGGCTGGAGCCAGAAGCCAGCACCCTCCTGCTGCAGGAACAGACCAGCAGGTAACTAACACCGCCTTCCTGAGATGCCGCCTTCTTCACATCTGTTAGCCCATTTACTCCTCTCAGCAACTGAGGAAGGAGACAGGGCAGGTGGTATCACATCCACTTGAAAGACAAGCAAAGTGGATTCAGAGGTTAAGTGGCTTTTCCTGAAGACCCCTAAGAACACAGGGCCCAGACACTAGTGTTCAAAGCTTGCTCCATTGTACTCTCTGCTGCACCCAGAGCAGCTGGGAAGCCTGGCACCCACCTTCTCCCACACCAGAACCGGTTCCCAGGCTCCACAGAGCTGCAGGGGAACCCAAAGTCATAGCCAGGCAAGAGAGAAGGAAGGAGCAAAAGGCTTTATTGATAAATATGCAGATATGTCTGTACACAGGGACCTGCTGTGGGGCCATGACTGGCTGCAGGCACCCCATGTTTGGGTTACAGCCAGGAGATGGCCCTGTGCAGACCCCTGCCACAGCAGCCCAGCTGTCCGGCCAACCGCCTCATCTCTGCCAATTGTGCTGGGGGCAGGGAGAGGCAAAGGTTGGCCTCAGGCTCCCAGCTCCTGGGGCTCATGAGCAGTCCCCTCCCCTCCAGGGCACTGGCACTGTGCCCAGGGCAGAGTCAGGGGGTAGGGGGAGGGGAGGGAGACAGCAGCTGCTTCAGACCCTGAGCAGAAAACCGAGTGAGCACAGCTGGAAGCACCAGATGACAGATCTGGGCTTCAGGGGCCTCCAGCTGGCCCTCATGGCTCGAACCTGCTGTGGGAGACAGGCAGGGTGGGGGGCCCCAGTTTTCCTTTTCTCTGACAAGGTTGGCAAGGCCTGTGTGGCAGCACTGCTTCCTGGGTGCTGGGCACTGGTGGCCCACGGTGGCCCTGGGAGGCAGGGTCCCTTTACGGCTCGCCCAGCAGCCAAACAGCAGGGAGGCACCCCTGAAGAAAACATCAGCACTCGAAGGCAGCAGCAGGGAGGGGCCTGGTGCTCCAGCCCGGGGGCCTCTCAGCCCCGCAGAGGCCCTCCCTGGCCTCTCTGCCCAGGGGTCCGTAGGCTCCTCAGTCCTGGGGTGGTGGGGGCTGGTTGATGATGACCTGGATGACAAAATCTTTCTGGATCTTGGTTTCCTGGAGCCGCGTGCGGTCTGTGAGCAGCTTCCCAGAGAAGAACCATCGCTGCCAGGACGGCTCGATGCCCTCCTGGGCGTGCAGCTGCCTCTTGAGCTGCCCCACTGTGTCGGGCAGGCTGGCGCTGAGCCTCACGTCCTTGCCCGTGGAGAGGCGCACCTTCAGCGGGAACTCACGACGGACGCTGGGTGTGGGCTCTGGGGGCTCCACACTCTCCTCCTCAGTGTGTTCCAGCAGCAGGTTCACGGGTGGCGACAGGCAGTAGATGGGCAGCTGGTAGCGATTGCCCAGCTCATCGTAGCATTCACAGAGAGTGCCTGTGGGAAAGGCAGGGCTATCAGAGTCAGCTTGGGGGCTGAATTATATCCCCACAAAAAATCCCTATGTTAAAGTTCTAAACCCAATGTATTTGGAAATAGGGGCCTATATGAGAGTAATTAAAGTGAAATGAGATCATTTGGGTGGGATCCTGATCTGGCAGAATTAGTGTCATTATAAGAGACACAAGAATGCTCCCGCCCTCTCTCTACCATGTAAGCACAATGCAAGCAGGCGGCCGTCTATCAGCCAGGGAGAGAGCTCTTGCCTAAAACTGATTCCAACTGGCACCTTGGTCTTGAGCTTCCCAGCCTCAAGAACTGTGAAAAATAAATTAGTTGTTTAATAAGCCATCCAGTCTGTGGTATTTTGTTATAGCAGGCCAAGCAGACTAATACACCTGTCATGGCCACCCACAGTCCCAAACCCACCATTCAGTCATGTGTCCCTGGGTGAGCTTGGAGGAGCTCCAGGTAGAGTCAGGAAGACCTGGGCTGACATTCTGTCTCTACCAGATACTGGTTTGTACAACCCTGGCAAATTATTTAATTTTCCATTTGTTTATTCAACAACATTGCTGAGCATATGTGCTGGGTGCTGGGTTTATAAGAATGAATGAAACAGCACAGGCCCTGCTCTTCATGTCTTGACTTGGGTGGTGTGGTTTGTTATACCTAATGAGCCTCAATTTCCTTGCTTATACAATGTACTGCATGTAGAAATATATTTACTATGCCCTGAGCACCTACTAAGTGCTAGGACTAGACTAAATGATGTTAGGGTAGCTCACTGAATCCTAACAACCGGCCTATGAAGTAGATATCCCCATTAAAGTCACTGAGGCTTTAAATTGGAGAAGCTCCTAGCTCAAGGTCACAAAGCAGGGGAACGCTCATGTTAAACCTAGGTCTAAGACTCTATAGAGTTCTACCGTTACCCCCTCTTTACACAGTCCCACAGGCTGTTATGAATGTAAATGAGATAACGCAGAAGCTTCTAGTTCAGTGCTCAGCACATAAGTACCCAACAGAAGGTTGGTCCCTTAGGTGTTCTGGGATCTCAAAACACCTGAGTAACCCTTAGCCGCTCTCATCACACTGCTTTGAGGTTTGCTGGTGCCTTTCCACTCCCTCACTGGGCAAACAGGGACTGTGTCTCATTTTTCTTTGTGCCCTCACTCCTGGTCCTGCTCATAGGACTGCTGAATGAACAAGTGGATAGCCACACCCGCTACCCACCAGCTTGGATAGCAACTCCTAGTGTGGCTGACCACAGACTCTCCTCTACCATAAACAGCAATGATGGATGGCCCCGCCTCCAGTGGGGACCAAGCCCCAACCCTGCCGCTCACCATGTGGCAGGGTGATGCTGGCTCCATCCAGGATGGCCTGAGCCAGCTCATGGTCGTTGGCCTCAGCCGCATAGGCGGCAGCCTTGAGGGCGTCCCAGATCTCCTTGCGGCCCTCGAAGGCAGGTGCTGTGTCCCAGAACTCATCCCGCTTGCTCCGCAGCTGCCCGTCTGTCATGGGGTAGTCGCTCTTCCACTTCAGCCGCTCCTTCTTCAGGGGTTCATTGCGTCCTAGGCAGGACAGAGGGGGAGGCTCAGCACCTCTAAAGCCAGGGCTGCCCAGCCCCCTCATCCCCAGGCCAGGACCAGGACCCGCTGCCCAGCCCACCCTACCCCATTGCAGTGGCTCCTAAGTATTTAGCCTTTGGACCTATCCTTGGAGTCAGGGAAGAGTCTGGAAACTGCACACACCCAACCTGGGGACGTAAAGTACTTCTATCAGCAAGCATATACTGTTCTTATTGTTGTTACTGCTGTCATGTAACTGATTATAAAGTAGTACAGAGAGGTTGTTGTTTGTCTAAGGCCACGCAGGTACCAATTTAACACAAGACTTTCTGACTCCAAGGCCACCCTTTGACCATGCTTATTCCATTCTGCCATTGCAGAAAAAGATTCCTCAAGAATTCCACCATTCAGAAATGACCACTGTTGACATCTGGACATATTTCCATCCAGCTTCCTTTTCTCCATTTTTCTCAATATAGTTGAGTTCATATTATTAAATATTTTATATTCTTTGTTATACATAGGATTTAAAATGTTCTCTTGGCAATATACAACTTTCTGTTTATTTCACATTTATATTACTGTCAATGTACTAGTTGTACCAGTTAATAATGCGGATTTTTTCACTAGATGGAGTTACACATATATTGATATACATGTGATTTTATATGTATGCTATTTTGTTGTATTAACAACAAGCTTCAAAACTTCATATATAAAATTTGCTGAAGGTGTTAACATCATAGATATTTTTACACTTAAAAATGTCAAATTTCGTGCCAAAAAAAAAGCACTTGCGGGAAGTTATAATTCATTACTTTATTTCGAAGAAAAGTGCTGCTGAATACTTCGGGAAGCTTATGGTGACCATGCTCCATCTCAAGATACTTGTGAATGCTGGTTTAAATACTTTAAAAGTGATGATTTCGATGTGAAAGACAAAGAATGTCCAGGTCAACCGAAAAAGTTTGAAGACCAACAATTACAAGCATTATTGGATGAAGATGCGTGTCAAACTCAAAAACAACTTGCAGAAAGATTAAACGTTGCTCAGCAAACAATTGCCGATCGTTTACAAGCAATGGGAAAGATTTTAAAGGAAGGAAAATGTGTGCCACATCAACTGAACGAAAGACAAATAAATGGAAAACCGAAAAGTCATCAGCAAAATATTGCTTCAACGGCACGAAAGAAAGTCTTTTCAAATTGTGACTGGCGATGAAAAGTGGATTTATTTTGAGAATCTCAAATGCACAAAATCATGGGTTGATCCAGGTCAACCATCAACATCGACTGCAAGGCCAAATTGCTTTAGAAAGAAGACAATGCTCTGCGTTTGGTGGGATCAGGAAGGTGTGGTGTATTATGAGCTTCTAAAACCAGGTGAAACTGTTAATACTGATCACTACTGACAACAAATAATTAATTTGAACCACACTTCGATCGTGGAATGACCAGAATGTTCCAGAAGACACAGCAAAGTAATTTTGCTTCATGATGACGCACCATCACACACTTCAAAACCAGTTAAAGACACATTAAAAGATCTTGCCTGGGAAGTATTAACCCACCCGCCGTATTCATCAGACCTTGCTCCTTCAGATTACATTCCGATCGATGGCACACGCACTTTCTGAGCAGCACTTCAAAACGTACGAAGAAGTGGAAAATTGGGTCTCTGAATGGTTTGCCTCAAACAAGAAAAGTTCTACTGGGACGGTATCCACAAATTACCTGAAAGATGGGGGAAATGTGTAGCTAGCGATGGACATCACTTTGAATAAAGCACTTTTGGTGTTTCTCTTGAAATTATCGCGTTTTCTTTGATTACAAAATCCGATATTATTAACCAGTACACCTAGTATATTCCCATGATTTAAATTATACACAATTTTAATGACTTGTTATTCATGTTCCACCATATAGTTACAAAGAATATTTTTTAACATAATCATAACCAATGAACCCAAGAATCCTGCAGCATCTGAAGAAGCAATTCTGTTACATGTCGTTTTTCTTGTCACTTGGCCCCAACTGGCCTCCCAGACAACTCCCGACCACAGTCAGGGCTGAGCAGGAGCACCTCTCACAGGCTTTCGGAGGCTGTTATCCCAAAGCTGAAGGCAGAAGCAGCCACAAGAGCGAGGTCTAAAGTTCTTGGCTCCTGACCTAGCCGGTTTGGCTCAGTGGAAAGAGCGCTAGCTGGGGACCGAAGGGTCTTGGGTTCAATTCCAGTCAAAGGCATGTACCTCAGGTGTGGCTCGATCCCCAGCCCTGATCGGGGCATGTGCGAAGGCAACAATCGATGTATCTCTCTCACATCAATGTTTCTCTCTCTGTCTCTCTCTCTCTCTTTCTTGTTCTCCCTTCCACTCTCTAAAAATCAAAAGAAAAATGTCCTCAGGTGAGGATTAATAAAGTACTTGTCTCCCACTCTAAGTCAGATCCTGCAAGAGAGAGACTGGACTAGAGCTGGGGGCTACCGCTAGGCTATCCCCACTGGCCGGGGCAGGAAAGGGGGGCTCTTCAGGGGAAGAGAATGACTTTCACTGTCTACCAACTGTGTGAAAGAACCCCATGTAAGCACTTTATTTATGTACATTATCCCATTTCATCCTTGCAATTGCCTCAGGTGGCAGGTGTTATTGCTATTTCACAGATGATGGGACAGGCAGAGAGACTAAATGACTTGCCCGAGGTCACACAGTAAGTGACAGAGTGAGGGTTTCACCTCAGGTTAGATTGAATCCACAAAGGTCGGTTTGCGATAGCTTTGCAGGCAGAAAACTCTTGACCAGACTTTTAATTTAAAGTGTCCCTGGGTTAGCAGAAGGAAATGCAAATCTTCTTTGTAGAAAAACAGCCTCAAACCAGGCCTCAAATACTTCCCAAGATAAAGTTCCAAGGAAAAGAAATAATAAGGTCACAGTTTATTGGTTTTTTTTTAAATCAAAACATACAAGGAAACAAGGCAATATGAGACAGAGCCAGCACAAATAGCAAACAGAAGAATCAGACTCAAAAAATTTCAGATATGGGATTTATCAAACACAGATTATGAAATACTGAGTTTAAGAAATAAGAGACTCTTGAAAATATGAACAGGGAAAAGGAGATTATAAAGAATGACCAAGCAGGAATTAAAAGAACCATATAGACTTCTAGAAATGAAAAATATAATAACTGAAACTTTCTTTTTTAATCCTCACCCAATTAAATTGTCTTTTAGTGAGAGAGGAAGGAGAAGAGAGAGAGAAGAGAGGGGGGGGGGAGAGAGAGAGAGAGAGAGAGAGAGAGAGAGAGAGAGAGAAAGGGAGAGGGAGAGAGGAAAACATTGATCGGTTGTCTCCCACATTCACCCTGATTGGGGATCAAACCCACAACCTTTTGGTGTACAGGATGATGCTCCAACCAACTGAGCCACCCCACCAGCTGGGTAACATAAATGAACCCCTGAAGAAAAAAACAAAACAAAAACAACAACAATACTTTCTTTGTTGTTGTTTTTTTAATATATATATTTTGTTATTGATTTCAGAGAAGAAGGGAGAGGGAGAGATAGAAATGTCAATGATGAGAGAGAATCATTGATTGGCTGCTTCCTGCACGCCCCTACTGGGGATTGAGCCCGAAACCTGGGCATGTGCCCTTAATCAGAATCGAACCCAGGACCCTTCAGTCTACAGGCCGATGCTCTATCCACTGAACTAAACTGGCCAGGGCTCTGACATTTTTAAAACAGAATTTCCAGGAGGATACAATAGGAAGAATGGGGATGAAGCAATATGCAACAAGATCATAAAGATGTCCCATTTTCCTCCAAACTGATCTATAAATTAATGAGATTCCAATAAAATTCCTAACTGGGAGGTGTTATTGTTTTTTCAAGGAACTTGGCAAGCTGATTCTAAAATTTATACAGAAGAACAATGATACTCTTAGAGAAAAATAAGGTGGGAAAACTTGCACTACAATTATTGACAGTAATTGTAAAGCTATAGTGAGTGTAGCACTGGAACAAGAATAAATGGGCCAGTGGAATGCAATAGAGAGCCCAGAAATAGACCAGGCATATACAGAAATATGCTTCAAGTAAGAAGGAACATTGCAGATAGGGCATATGTATGCATGTGTGTGTTTGTGATAGATGTGAAATATTATTAGAAATATATATATTGGCTCTGCCCCCCGTTCCTGTTAGTATTTTGTCTTTGACTCAGTTCCTGACACTGAACTCCTAAAACCCTCATAATTTCCTGAGTGATAGGAATGACTGATACAGACCTCCTAAATTGCTTGGAATTTCCTAGGTGACACAGTGTCTTTTTTTTTTTTAATTGATTTTGGAGAGAGGAAGGGAAAGGGAGAGAGAGATAGTAACATCAATGATGAGAGATAATCATCGATCGGCACCTCCTGCATGGCCCCTACTGGGGATCCAGCCCACAACCTGGGCATGTGCCCTGACCAGGAATTGAACCATGACCTCCTGGTTCATGGGTCAATGCTCAACCACTGAGCACACCGGCCAGATAAGTGTCTTTTGTTTTAATGAGGAAACTCTTGGTGGGATCCTGGATGAGGGCTGGTCACCAGAAAGATCAAGCCATGATAAGCTTGGAATTTTCAGCCATGCCTTCCATTCTCTGGAGCAGGGAGAGGGGTTGTAAATTGAGTTAATAATTGGTCGTGCCTAAGTGGTGAAGCCTCCATAAAAATTCCCGAAGTATGGGCTTTGGAGAGCTTCCATGTTAGTGAACACATCCATGTGATGGGAGGGTGGCCCACCCCCAGTCCAGGGACCAGACGTTCCTATGCTGGAGACCCTTCCAAACCTCACCCTCTGCATCTCTTTACCTGGCTGTTCATTTGTATCCTTTAAAATACCCTTTGTAATAAATTGACAACAGTAAGTAAACTGTTTTCCTGGGTTCTGAGAGTCGCTCTAGCAAATTATCAAACCAAAGGAGGGGGTTATGGGAACTTCCAATATGTAGCCAAGT